ACCAGACTGCACTCTGTTCGAGTTCCGATTACGAACAGATTTCGGGCCTAGAATTCGCCGAGAGCTGTGCTCTGTTCGGGCCCGAAACTGGACTACGTTGCAGTTTTGAGTCGAATCGAGCTACGAGGTCACTCCCGAATTTTAGAATCGCGATTCACTCAACAGGGTTGTGACGTGAGTTGGAGGTTCTGCTCTAAGAGAGGTGCACACAGCCAAAACAAAAAACAGGTAAGTGGATATGGGGGCTCTAAATTTCCAAAATTTGAAGGCAAGGTTGTTTTTGCCGGCAAACTTTTTGGAAGTTGCATTGTGCATGACTAAAGTTTTGGCTTTCGGTGGAGGTCTCTTGTCCGTGGCAACGTTTTCGAGCTGTTTCAACTTCCAAAACCGACCCTGCGGGTGTTTTTTTGTCTTTCTCGGAGGAGTCATGACGTTTCGATTAAGTGCCATTCAGGGGTGCAACTGGCTCTCGCTGCGCCTCCTGCAGAGTCCTGCAGAAGGGTTGAAAGGCTTTTTGGACTTGTAAAATCCGGACTGCGATCTTCCTGTAGTTTGCCAGCAATCTGAGATTCGCCCTGTACTGAAGTTCCCAACAGCACAAAATAGATTGCCAAAATCTGGATCGATGGCAAGTGGATTTGGGGCTCTAAACTTTCCATTTTGAAAGTTTGCCATGATAGTGCGATTCGAACCCCTAAATCCACTCACCTCCGTCCAGATTTTGGCAATCTATTTTGTGTTTTTCTGGCAAGCTATTGGTGAATTGCAATTCTTAACATCTATGTTTCCGGCAAGCAATTCCGGAATTCGAGCAGGTCGTTTTTGCCAGCGAGCCATTGGGGAGTTGCATTGTGCATGATCTTGTCGGCAAGGTTTGGGGGGATTCCATATGGAGGGCCTTGTTGTTGCGACAAGCCACCGTAAAACTCACATGGTTTCAGGCAAGTCCACTTTGGGGAGTTTTAAGACGTTTTGGCTTTCAGTGTGGCAACAGCATGCGCTAAAATTCCTGTTCCCTGAATGTCGCCTTTGCGGCACAATTTGACAAGGCAGCCACATTTGGGCCCCAGAGCACATGCAGTGCATGCAAGACCCAATGATCCATTTGGATCACTACAAAAACAAGATTGCAGCGTTTCGCAAATTATCCGCTTTGAATTCGTTTCTTTTCAAGCCGGTTTGTTTGAGGCTTCCAGGAAGGTGCCATTTAGTAGACCCAGTGCTACGCTTTGAAGTGCGGCTATCAACTCCCATTACCGTTCCTCCGGAGCGGAAACAGCTACAACTTAAGCTTGTGTAATCATGCGTTGAACGGGCAACGAATGCATGTGATACATGCATGATGTTGTTTTTCCTCAACAGCACATCATTCCGTTTGGCACTGCAAGGCATATTGTTCTCCGGCGAGTTCGGTCCCGACATGAACTTACCAAGCAGCTAGCACAGCACTACGCCCAGCTTGCTTTTGTGGTAACTTTTTTCCGTGTCTGACGCGTTCATACAAGGTGTGGGTGTAAATTCCCTCCGTTTGGTGTTGAGCATCTTTGTTCATTCCAACTGCTTGTATTGAAAAGATTTGTTTAGTTTCCAAGCTGGACACAGGGATTAGAGCTTGAGTTTTGAATTTTTGTCAATACGTGCAAAGTTGCAAGTTTCCCGCTTGTCAAGGTCGAAAGGTGCAGCTCACACCTGTGCCAGCAGCAGTTATGGCTTGGATTTCACGTAGGCGTTGTGATAAACCCATCGAGACAATGAGCCGGTTCCATGTCATGGACAAGAGCATTTGTTGCCATGAAACAGTCATGCAAAATCCTGAGCAAAATTGTGCCGATGCACTGTCAGCCCTTGTGCACCTCTGCAAGATGCATTCCAGCAAAATAATAAGTTCTGCACACAGTGGCATATGCGAATCTTCAATGGCCTTTGCTTTGCTGTTCTAGCGCAGCAGCTTCTGGCGTTGGTTCCCTCCGAACATCCGGTGAAGGGCGGCGACGTTTGCCTGGGTGGTAGCCAGTATTCCAATGCAACACCTTCCTTGCGGTTCTGCAACTGCCAGGGTGGGCTTGGATGCCCATCACAGGTGGGTGGTGCAATATGTATTTGTGTTCGGGGTTAAGCGAGTCCTCGCACCGATCGGAACCTTGAAGTGCAAGTTCCCAAGTTGGTAGATTATGCAAGCAATCAATGCCCTGCAGGTGTTGTTAACACTTTTTGGTGTAGCCGCTGGTCCGGAACCTTGGATGCATGCGAACAGCACGGAGATCAACGTTTCAGAGGAGCTGTGGTCTTCCCGTCGCTTTCACAATCAGGAGGCTGAAACAGTCAATGGTTCTGTGTTGTTGCATTCCGCTCGAAAGAAGTTGTCCGTGGTTGAGTAAGAGCCTGTCTTCTCCCTGACAGGACACATCCGAGTTTTCAGAGACGAGTGGTGTGTCGTCGTATCTGCTCATCTCGGAGGGTATGGGTCTTGGAACTTTTGCGTCGGGGGTGTATGCTGCTCTCTCCGGCTATGTTGGCAGGTCTGGAGCATACCCGCTGAACCTGATGCATTTCGTGTCGAGCTCACGTGGGACAGGGTTCCAAACTTCTGAAATTTCTCAAATTCGCACCTGCATCAACTACGAAGAGAGACCTCCTGCTGCTGCCGGAGACGGAGACGATTCTGAGGATTCTGACGGCAGTGATGACGGTGATGATGGGTCTGACACGGAAACCGATATCAGTACCACTACTACGACATCTCTGGCGCTTTACGAGCCCCCGACGGAGGTTTTTTGTGGCCGGGAGCTTGCAACCAGCCCCAGCAGAGTGAAGCTGAACATTTACGGATATACCTGGGGGAGCAAGTGGGCAACCGACACCAGCGGCCAAGAGTATTTCTTCTACCGCGTGCGCCTTTGTTTTAGCAGGATCCAAGACTGGTACATCAATCAAGCACGCCGTGGGGAAGGCAGGATATGATGGCCTCGCAGCAAGAACAAGATCGTACCATGTAGGTGTAAGCTGTGTTCCCAAGCGCTGTGTCAAAGTAAGGTTTCGACGTTGGCATGACATATTCTGACCAATGACTAACAGCTAGCAGGGAACAGAGGAGTGGGGTTTTCACAGTAAACTGACCCCCTTAAGAGCGTAGTCTGCGAGTCCCCGCAAAGTAGCTCGTCTTGGTTTTCAACATTCGTTTTTTCCAAGTCAAGCATCCGAATCCAGCAGACTGGTTGCCGTTTGCGACCCCGCAGGCATACTGGGCACAGGGCAGGAAGTGGAGGTTTTGGATTTTCAGCAGGAGCTCGCACCAGCGACTTTGCACTGTGTGTCATGTGGGAGCGACGCCCTCCTGTGCACTGATGCAGTTATAAGTGCTTGGCCACGTGCATGTTGACTGGCGCACAGGTGCACGTGCACCCCCAGGCACACATGCACCCGTGAACACAATTAAGCACGGACTGTGCACATCAGACTGCGGTCGCAAGCACGCGTGGCCTGAATCTCAATCTCACTCTCTAAAGGCCTTTGTCTCCGTTTTTCTTATTTGCAGAAAGGCAAAGTTGTCTGGTAGCTGTGCAGCCGCGCCTGTGCTTGCAGGAGGGTGGTGGAACCTTCGGCTACTGGTTTCCAAAGTTCTACTGGACAGGCCGATTGCAGGGTTAGGGGTGCAATTCTCGAGCTGGTGGTCTCTTGCCATGGAGCAGAAGTGATCCCAAATCTTCATAGAAACCTAAACCCTGAACCCTAAACCCTACAACATCCCTAAAACCTGAAAAGCCAGGCAACCACTTGAACTGCACCTTCGATGATCTTCTCTGGGACCTCCCGAGACTTTGCTGAACCAGACGGGTCACGTCGAGTAGCGTAGAGTGTAGGCCCCATAGTAGTTCCTTTTTGGGATTACCTTATAGGATTCTAAATATGAACCCCAAAAAGGAACTACTATGGGTTTGAGGACATCGTGTTGGAACTGGGAGCTTTGCATCTTGATGTAGTGTCGAAGTTGTTGCGGCGGCACCAGAGTCTTGTGGCAAGGCTAAGCAGTTTGTGGCGCAGTATTCCGGTCATGCATCACTCAAGCCATGCTGTAAGCTTTCAGGGATTTTTTCTCCTACAGCCGCTCACCCCTCCGGGTGCCCCAACATGCGACTTCCGAGCAATCATTGGAGTTTTAATGTCTACCCTTTCAGGAAATGGGCTTGCCCCTTGGGCCAGTTCGGAGCTGTCCGCGTCACCGCGAGCCATGCAGGCTACGGAGCTTGGCGAGCGATGAGTGTTTGCTTCTTTGTTGTCGTCGATGTAGAAAAAGGCAACAAAGTGTGTTCGAAGAAACGGCAACGAAGTGTGTCCGCGGCTTCAATATCGGAAACCTGGACGGAGGAGCTACCTTGGCCATACGCCATACACCTGTTGTTCAAACTTAATACCAAATAGTTGTCATCACAATACTCAAGCGAGTTCAGTGTCTGACTGCTAGTGACTGTCACTGCTGCAATACAGCCGTCGCATCACCAAGGCTGGACGAGCACTTGCATTTTCAGTTGTTTCAATGCTCATACTTCGAAGATTATCGGTGCCGCCACAGTCCCTGCCTTCTTGTTCTTGTTGTTGTTGCTTCCATTCTTTCCGGAGTACTGTTGTGGAAGATATCCGTAGCGACATGCGAAGCCGGGTTGAAAATAATGGACTTCTCATAGAGCAGAACATATGTTGGTTGTGGTGAGGGGGCGCCACGCCCGTTCGACATCCTCCCCCACCCCCGTCGCCCCCCACTACTAGAACTACCACTACTACTACTACTACTACTACTACTACTCCTGCTGCTACTACTACTACTACTACTACAAATATTATTATTATGACTGACTACTACTAGAAGTACTACTGCTGCTGCTGCATTACTGCTACTACTACTACTACTA